GTTCAGCCCGTAGCCATTCGCTATACCCACTGCGCTATCCCGGCTCCTCACGTCCAGCCCCTAGCCAGTCGCTATACTGACTGCACTATCCCGGCTCCTCACGTCCAGCCCGTAGCCAGTCGCTATACCCACTGCGCTATCCCGGCTCCTCACGTTCAGCCCGTAGCCAGTCGCTATACTGACTGCGCTATCCCGGCTCCTCACGTCCAGCCCGTAGCCAGTCGCTATACTGACTGCGCTATCCCAGCTCCTCTGTATTTAAGGTACAACTGACATAAATAAATATATATATATATATACGTCTATATACATTTAACACAACGGTAAAATTAAATTAAATCTACTGTTGACATCCTAATGAACTGTATACAGGCCTGTATTACAACGCATTGCTAACCACTTCACCGTGGAAAGATCTGATGTACTCTATAAACACATTATTAAACTGAAGAGCTATAAATTACTTCTATCTGTACAACGTCGGCAATAAAATAAGAAATGAAAGTCTTAATGAGGTAAATGACAATGTGAAGGACTATTTTTTACATAAATCCGACACAATTCTATTTATCTTCATGTAAACTATTATCTGGAGCCGATATGTACCATTCAAATTTATATAGATAAATTTTAATGCTGATCTCCCAAGCCAAATTTAATCGAAATTCCTTAAGCGATCTGGAAGATGAAATCCGATTATGCTGAACGGATATTACTTTCCTATTATACGTATACATAATTAACGTCCACTTCTAGGGTCCTCTAGAGACGATACATGATTATGACATATTGCAAGTACCACATCGGGACAAACATACACTCACGCGACTTGTAACGAAGAGAAAGAATACAATGTATCGCAAGTCACAATCAGCACAAACATACGCTCATACAACATAGTTCTACATAGTAAGAAGAAGAAAGAAAGAAAGAGAAAATTGAAAAAGAAAAGAAAGCGAGAGTTTAAGCGAAATCCACGCCCGAAAGCTTTGATACACACTACAAAATGAGCATCCGCAACGGAAGTCGGGATCACGTGTGTACTAGTGTCGTGCAGTAGCGTTGCCGATAGCAACTTAACTACCCACGTTTCCATGGAAACCACGCCCCCACCCCGCAGAAAAGAAGAGGCGCAAACAGAAGCTGCTGCATTTTTTTAATGCTAAAGGAATCAATTCACGTAAGTTGTCGCAAACGAACCCACGTGCTTCCTTTAAAATAGTATCACACTCGGTCAAAGACAAGAAACATGACCTCAAATGGAGTTTTACTGCTAATCCAATATAAAACATGAATGTTTTAAACATGCTTCATTGGGCCATCAATGGGGTCGGGATAGCGTAGTTGGTATAGCGACTAGCTACGGGCTGGACGACCGGGGACTCGGAATTCGAGTCTCGGTAGGGTCAAGAATTTTCTCTTCTTCACGTCGTCCAGACCGACTCTGGAGTACACCCAACCTCCTATCCAATGGGTACTAGCGGCTCTTTACACGGGGATAAAAGGGCCGGGGCGTGAAGCTGACCACTCAAGTGCCGAGGTCAAGAAAACGTGGATCTATACATCCATTCCTCCATACACCTTCATGGCGTAATGCTTAATTAGTTAAGCACCTGGGCCATCAATAAAGATTGAAAACACGCAATCCGTACCTGACCGCATATACAGAATTTCCACGTGCGTTCTTTCCGTAACAGTCTATTCCAGTGCGACCAAATACTATAATGCAACGCCCTTTCTTCCAACGAGAAACTCCATTTTTTTATATAGGATTGAACATATCACTCTGTTCTGAGGGTTGCACGCAAAAAGAAAAAATACTGCTAAGAAATAATAAATTCGAGATTTAATACCTTAAATACGTGTCTTCACAAATATCATTAGTCAGCAATTGGAACTCCCCATAATCATTCTTAAGGACCCCAAAATAATGCGACCCTTCTTTTCTACGAAGCAGAATCTGGGAGATGGGGGGGGGAGAGATTCGTTTATATTCTAGCGAATATGCACTTCTATGATGTCGTCCTTTATGAAAATCGAAACTATCCTCTTTGTAAGGACCTGTAATATTAAACTTTTAAGTCCGTCAGGCAGTTATCAAAATGAAACTTGCAGACGGATGGATACAATATACTTCACATGGGTTCAGTTTATACATGTAGTGCAAATAAGACATAAATATGGCAAATGTAAGAACAAATTAGGATACACATCACAGGCTAACATTCCTAGCGAAACAAATAAGATCCTTAAGAAAGGCCTTTAAGACAGCAATGCGCTGTCATCTACGAACCTGACTTGACTCACCCAGTGTCACGCATGGAAGCCACACAAAGAGAAGCCTCACGACTTGCTACATAAGCCTACAAGACGTAACATATGTGAAGTTAATTTTACTTGTTTGTTTCATATTGTTTCATGTTGCATGGGGCATGTTATGTCGAACGAGATGTGCGGATAAATTATGAACATGGCTGGTAATGTCCGGAGGGGTGTGGTCGTCCGCTAGCCTGAAGAGAAATACGTATTTAATTTGAGATTTTCACATCGGTAATTATGAAGTTCTATGTTCGGACTAGATCAGAAACATCTGTAAAGTTTCGAAATGTGGTGTTGGAGAAGGATGGAGAAGATCAGTTGGACCGATTAAGTGAGAAATGAAGAAGTGTTAATTAGAGTCAGTGAGCAGAGGAATGTCCTACACGAAATAAGAAAACGGAAGGGTAGTTGGATTGGTCATGTTTTACGCAGAAACTGCCTTCTAAAAGAAGTTATTGAAGGAAAGATAGAGGGGCGGATAGAAGTGACAAGAAGACGAGGAAGAAGACGTAAGAAGATGCTGGATGACCTTGGGGACAGAAGAGGATACTGTCATTTGAAGGAGAAAGCTCTAGATCTCATTAAGTGGAGGAATTGTTTTGGAAGAGACTGTGGACCTGTCGTCTGACAGATTACTGATGATGATGATGTTCGGACTACACGGCATTATACCGCAGATGATAAAACTCAAAATATTTTTTGACGGCACCATGACCAAAGTTCAGTTTAAAATCCTGCTTTTCAAAAAGAATGTAAAATTTTGATTTCCGAAGGCGGAGAATGTGTAAAAGGATTTCGGTATTCCAAATTCAAAAATCTACTGGATGCGACAATACACAGCAACAAAGCAAATTGAATCTTACAAAGAAATATGTTCTATATTTTGGAAATACTGTATTGGGATATGAGCTCCGTTTGCAGATCGGCACTCATCCAACTGTAACTGAGTTGTTGCCACGTGTGCCCCCACATATCTTGCGAAATGCACGTGTAGCTGTAGATTCCATATTCTTCCAACTACCACCCCCCAACCCCAAAATGAAGGCCAATAAATCCGCCCTCACTGATCTATCCACTTATTCCGAAATTGGGAAATCTTTCTGCCACACCTTATCGAATTCTGGGATGCACCGCCTTCAATGAAAGATGAACATTCTGGGAATCTGTATAAGAGTTACTTACTTCCTTACTCATGGAGCTGAGCCCTTCTTGAGAAGCCGCCAGCTGTGCAGCTACTCAAGAATTTTCCAGCATTTTATGGAACCCGAAGGTTCATTACCGTGTTCACAAGACCCCTCCACTGGTCCCTATCCTGAGCCAGATCAATCCAATCCACCCTATCCCATCCTATCTCTCTAAGATCCATTTTAATATTGTTCACCCACCTACGTTTTGGTCTTCCTAGTGGTCTCTTTCCTTCTGGCTTTCTCACCAGTATCATCTACGCATTCCGCTTCTCCATTCGTGCTACATGCCCTACCCATCTTATCGTCCTTTTTGGCGTGATCATTCTAGTTATACTCGGCGAACAACACAAGTTGCGAAGCTCCTCATTATGCAGTTTTCTTCAACCTCCCGTCACTTCATCTCTCTTCGGTCCAAATATTCTCAGCGCCCTCTTCTCAAACACCCTCAGTCTATGTTCCTCCCTTAATGTCAGAAACCAAGTTTCACACCCATACAGTACCACAGGCAAAATTATAGTTTTGTATATTCTAATTTTTATGTTTTTGGACAGCAGACGAGAAGACAAAAGGTTCTGGACTGAATTGTAACAAGCGTAAAAGCGTTACTGTTGGAATGTTGCCACAAAGATTTGTACACTGAGGGTTAAATAACAAGGCTTAACTGAGTCGTCTGCAGATCTAAAGCAACGAACGTAAAGAAAGCGCGTGTTCTACGCCCGTGTTTCCCAACATGAGGGCCATAAAGATTTTTCGGGAGCAGCAGAAAATGCGAAAATATCACATATGGGTCATTCCATGTGAAGTCATCCAGATAGGTCGCTCGACCATTTAAAAAAAATTATATTTTGTACACTTATTCCTACATATTCTCATACCTCAAAAATATTTTTAAAAAATTTAACCCGCTCGGTTCTCCCGGTACAACCGTTTTAATAATGCAAAACGACGCATTTTCGGCTGAAATGGTGGTTTGCGTTATCTTCTATAACTCGGTAACTATTGATGCTACAGACTCCAATAAAAAACCAATTTGTTCCTCATGATAACGACTACAAATCATGTTATTGCAAGTTTTAACTCAACTCACTTCCTGTGGGTCTAATTAAGCTTGGAACTTACCTATCGATTTTGAAAAAAAAAAAAAATATTTTTGACCTTCAAAAACCAATGGGAGGGGGGGCAAGTATGAGATCTGTGGTTACTACCCTTTGTTGTTGCCTCCATGGGGAATATAATTACGTAGTTTTGAACTCCGTATCTATTTTCCAAAAATTTTCAGGATCTCCCAAACTTTGCTCTGGGCCAAAAATCGGCCATTTTTAACATCTCATATCTCCTGTGGAGAAGCTCCGAAATGTTTTAAATTCATAGCAAATAATGCTCTATCGTAGGGTATCTTGGAGATAAATTAAAACTTTTATGTTCAACAAATAGCGAAGTTGTGGGTACTTTGAATTTTACCAAAAAAAATCAATACCTCAACAATTGGCTTACCTGCATCCAATGGTATTAGTGGTTCTTTATTCGGTATAAAAGATGAGATTTATCTTTTGTCATTCCGAGAAGTAAGTATAGGCCTGCAAATGATTAAAATAGAGCATTATTTGCTATGAATTTAAAACATTTCGGAGCTTCTCCACAGGAGATATGAGATGTTAAAAATGACCGATTTTAGGCACAGAGCAAAGTTTGGAAGTTCCTGGAAAATTTTGGAATATAAGTATGGGGTTCAAAACTACGTAATTATATTTCCCATGCAGGCAACAACAAAGGGCAGAAACCACAGATCTGATACTTTCCCTTCCCATTGGTTTTTGAAGGTCAAAAATAGCTTTTCTACCAAAATCGATGGGCAAGTTTCAAGCTTAATTAGACCCACAGGAAGTGAGTTGACTGAAAACTTGCAATAACATGATTTGTAGACCATATCATGAGGAACAAATCGGTTTTATATTGGAGTCTCTAGCGTGAATAGTTAACGAGATACAGAACATAACGCATTTCAGCCGAAACTGCGTCTTTTCGCATTATAAAAACGGCTGTACCGGGAGAACCGAGCGAGTTTAATTTTTTAAAAATATTTTTGAAGTATGAGAATATGTAGAAATAAGTGTACAAAATATAATTTTTTTAAATGGTCGAGCGACCTATCTGGATGACTTCACATGGAATGACCCATATACTGAATTAATTTTAATCCCAATTAAAAATATGCAGCTACACTTCTGACGAATTATTATTTTCCGCCTTATTTTCACAACTTTTGTCTAATGTTCAAAATGCTGTGTGTGTGTGTGTGTTTCTTCCACACTGCCACGTTACATTTCACTATAAACGCTGTTAGCATATGTTTCGGTCAACACTGAGGCCATCATCAGGTACATGGCACTGCCCGTCAGGTGGTACACTGTTAATGTTTGTATTCCATTATCTCTTGCTGAGTGAAACATTAATTAAAAATTTTAAAGTTAATGTTGATAGTTGAAATTCAAGTACGTATCATTTGGAGGTTTATGAAATTAGTACACCTCGTCGTTTTCGAGGTCCCTGCTATAATCGCGTTGCTGTCTCTCTTTTATTTAGTGTAGTAATCGTGGTTAATCCATCACACTCTACCATACAAACAGAAGAGAAAAACAGCAGCTCGATTACACCAGGGACCTCCAAAACGACGAGGTGTGCTAATTTCATTAACCTCCAACAGATACGTACTTGGATTTTAACTATCAACTTTAACTTTAAAATTTTAATGGCGTTTCACTAAACAGCAGATAATGGAGTACAAACATTAACAGTTTATCAGATCAACGAATGTAACTGATGACTGTTTCAGTGCTGACCGAAACATTTCGTACGGCGTTAAAAGAGAATGAAATGTTGTGTGTTAAGAAAACACTGCCATATGAAAAATAGGCTAAAGTTGTGAAAATATGACTTAAATAATACAGCAATTATTATTTATTTGCGTGCTAACTCAACATGTCAAGGGCCAATTGCAAAGTAAGCAGGAGTGAAAGAAACAAACAAACATACGAAGTACAAAACAAGACAATTTATAACATCTAAGTAAAGATTATAATAATAAAAAAGAGTATTAATAACAAAAATAAAAGTTTTAATTTAGCAGATGGTAACAGTATCAGGTAACAGTTCAGAGGTGAGAAAACAAAATACCGTATTTACGCATGTATAGGCCGCACATTTTTTGCCAAAAATTCAAGAGGAAAACTGGGGTGCGGCTTATATTCGAAATATTCGAAATCACACTTCGTTTAAAAAAAATATATTCATAATTAGTAATACGGGGTGTTCAAAGATCGAGGAATTATTTTTTCTATAATTTGTCTGAAAATTGTGCTGCGGCCTATACATGCGTAAATACGGTACATATATGCATTTACAAGGATACAGTACATAGTGTATTATAATGCGTAATGCGAAATTAACGATAATAATGAACTCCATCTACTGAACTGCTTAACACATGCTGAGAGACAAGGGACAGGGAAGCATTGGAGAAAGAAACCACAATAATACAGAAGTGAACAAACAAAACAAAGATGAAGAGAATACACAAACACCGTAATAACTAAGAAATACACAACGCAGAGCCTTAAATACGTATTATTAACAATTTTAGGTAGAAGAAGAAACTGTTCCGATTGCAAATATGTCGAGATCTTTACCCACCGCGTTGGCAGCATAGGCGCACCGAGCAGAAGGACAGTGTTTATTAGAGGGACAAACACTAAAAGTTTAGAGGTCCCTAACACTGCGAATAGGAACAAGAAGACTAACATTTCCCAAGAAGGGAGTGCAGGCCACGACAGACCTGAAAAAAGGTGCATCAAGGTGACGTCTCCGCTTACGTAAAGAATGCAGACTTCATTTATCTAAGGCAAGAGTATAACTGTAAGCAGTGTTTCTCAACCGCAGGGCCGCGGCCCGGTACCGGGCCACGGTCTCACAAAGGCTGAGAACCATTGATGCAAGAAACATGAGGGGGGGAAAACGACAGAAATAGACGGAAGCAAACTTCTGCTGGATGCGCTCAAGTCTGCTGGCATCGATAGACGTGATGGAATTCCAAACTACCGAGGCATATTGCAACCTAGATCTGATTAACGTAAAGCACAGCACACATAAAGACACCAGGGAAGAAAATGTGAAGTTTATGAGCGACTAGGGCCTAACAGCTTTACGCATTCAGAAAATAACAAAACAACAACTGTGAAAATATAATTTTGAATCAAAGAAAACACCTAGGTCCTAAATACTGCTGGTGCAAAGTTGATGCTCGTAACTCAGACCACTTGTCTTCCTGCAGTATGACATAACACAGCGGCCTCCGTAGTCTAGGGGTAACGTTCCCACCTCATGACTCAAGGTACGCGGGTTCAAACCCGGTGGAGGTCATGGAATTTTTAAGGGCGGAAAAATTTAGGGAACAAGTCCTCCGGGAGGGACTTTAAGCCGTGGGTCCCGTGTCGTAGCTTTACGGCACGTAAAAGAACCTCATGCCTCAAGGAGGTCTCTGAGCTAAATTATAAGGACATTTTCCGCCCAACAACAGTCTCTAACGCCTCTGGTAGATGGGGGAAGCATCTAGATACCGCTGAGCCAGTAGAGGCCGAACTCGCTGGCTGAGTCGGGACTGATGGCACGCACCAGTATCGGTAGGGTATAGAGACTGGTAGAATATCACAGGACGACGTACAAAAGATCAAACTGGTCGCGGTGCATGGGGAAATCCACCCCATCCAATAATAATAATAATAATAATAATAATGACATAACACGAGTTTTAGCAATATTAAGTCTCATGCAGTTAGCAGTGCACCAGTCACTCACGGAATTAACGTCAGATTGGAGTAAGATGCAATCATGTGGCGAGCTAATGAAGCGAAAAATGTTGAGATCTTCAGAAAGATTAAAAAGTTTCAGTAGTTAATGGATACATAGGTCATAAGCACAACAGACCACTGTAGGTCGCGGAGCAAGGGCCGAGAAGGCATACCCCTCATAAATTCATTCATACATAGGTCATTAATGAATACTTTGAAAAGGTCTCAAGACAGAGCCTTGAGGCACACCGGAAGTTACATGAAAAGATAAGGAGAGGGTACCAGAAACGTGAACCCGAGACTGTCCGTTGGTTAAGTAACTGCGAAACCAGCCGGCGTAACCATCAGAGAGTCCAAAAGAGCTCAACTTAAGCAACAGCAGGTTATGGGGGACGAGATCAAAATAGACAGCAGCAGCTTGACACTGATCACGGGCAACAGGAGTCATACAGTCAAGAAACGTTACCAAATTAGTAACTGTAGATTCTGATTTGGTGAAGCCATGCTGGTTGCGATTAAGCTCAATGTAATGCAAAACACGATAGAGAATAATGAATTAAAATAATCAGAGACATTATTAAGAATAGAAATGGGTCTACAGCTGCTCACAGCGGCGTGATTGCCTCTTTCAAATATGGGTACAATAATCTCTTCCTTTCATCCGGTATGGAATTACTGATGAGTGAGGTGCAAGTTAAATATATGCCCAAGAAGATGAATACAAATTACTGAACAGCCACGTTACGACAAACCCAGAGATGCCGTCAAGTCCACCGGATTAAGGTTTAGTCTCTTAATGGCCTTGCACACATCCGCATCGGAAACAGAGGCAAGGGATACGAATTCAGAAGATCGTGAAAGTGGGGTAATGTCCACAGGGCAATGATTATTACACAGTGTGTCCAGGTTCTCTTAGGACTGTGTTCATTAAAAATACAAGACGTGAATTATTTTCAAAATTTGACTCTTTTTATTCAAAAGTCTCCTTCTCAATCAATACATAGCTGGAATCGATTGAAAAGTTTTCGAAAACAGTCACTATACTCTTTTTGTGGAATCGCATTTAGAACTGCGGTACATTCCCTTTGGATGTCCTGGATGGTGTCGTGACAGTCTCCTTTCACCGCCAACTTAACTTTTGGGAACAACCAGAAATCTGCTGGAGCCAAATATGGCGAATGCGAAGGATGATCAAGGGCTGTGATCCCTTTTCTGGCCAAAAAATCGCGCACGATCTTCGATTTGTGGGGTGGGGCATTGTCGTGGAGGAGCGACCAGGAACCTTGCTCTCGATATTCAGGTCGAATTCGAGGAATTCTCGCCCACAAACGATTGAGGACTCCGAGATAATAATGAGAATTCACTGTTTGACCTTCTGGCAGAAATTCCTTGCGAATGATTCCTTCGGAATCGAAGAAAACCGTTAGCAGTGTCTTTACTCGACTCTTTTGCATGCGCACTTTCTTTGGTTTCGGCTTCTTTGGGCTCAACCACGCTGCACTCTGCCGCTCTGAGAGGCTCATATGGAAAACACTATGTCTCGTCACCAGTAACAATCGATTTTGTAAATTTTGTATCACTTTGGGCCGACCGCAACATGTCTTTGCAGTGTTCCATTCTGGCATGCTTTTCATCGCCTGACAGCGCGTGCGATACAAACCGCGCACACGCCTTCCGTTTGCCCAGATCCTCGGTCAAAATTTGATGCACAGTACTTTTTGGTATTCCCAAAA